CTGAAACATCGATATAACCTGGATGATATTTTGGCAAAAACAAAAATCGAGATCTGCATGATAGTATGACTTGAAACCGAAAGAGGATAACATGAGGACTGATGTTTAAAGTTTTGCACACGTTAACTCGCTTCCGAATTGTGTCTGAAGAACCGGATGTCTATCTTCGAATTCTCGCGTAAGATGCTCTGAAATTCTATTTTCTACTGTATTTCTTGGGGGGAGGGGTTGAAACAATCTTCTGTATTTTTCTAGAACCTGTCGTATATGGAGAAAGCCTGTTACATAACCGTATTCATAATGGGAAGAGTAAAAATGAAAATGAACTACTATTTAGCATACTAGGAAGCGGGGAACGGGGGTAGGAAGCAACAAATCTTATTTTTTTCAGATATTATTAATAACACTTTTTCTTACGTGCTATGTTATGAATCCCTCGTGTCTTGTGAAGAGGAAGGTTCTAAATTGAGACAAAACGTTTGATCAACCATCTTCCGACAAGTAAGATCTTACAGTTTCTGAATATGAAATACGTTGCGGGGGAGGGGGAGCAGCAAATCTGTATTTTTCAGGTAGTTCTGTCCTATGCTAATTTGTGTGCCTCGGCATTATGCAATTGAGTTGCGAATCCTGCATATCTTATCAAGAGGAAGCTTCTAAAATGAAAAAAGGCGTTTATCTGACCATCTTCGCATGAAGTAAGATGCTTGTAGTTTCTCAATAAGAAAAGTATTGGAGGGGAGGGGGGAGCAACATCTATGTTTTTCAGAGAGCAGTTACTCATCTGAGGACCCAGGAAAAGTGATTATGTAAATTAGAAGTTGAACATTAGGCATAGAGAGAGTCGCGAATTTGAGGAACTGGTTCTGAGAACTCCAAAATCTGCTAGTGATGCCGCAAAAGTAACTGAGAGGAATAACGGTAATATCAAAGATGACTGTTTTGAGCACGTGAAAGCGGCAAAACGTACGACCCAACCAAATATCAAAAAGGATTTTAAAGAAAGCAGTGCAAGCGCAAGAAAAAGAGGCATGAGAACAGTGAAGATTCAGCAAAGCATTGTGGTTGCAATTCATAGATGGAAGCATGAGGTAAGGGTTTATATCTGCATTTCAAGATTGTTTTACCAGGTTACCCAATACTGAAGAGAATCACAAAACCTGAAACATCGATATAACCTGGATGATATTTCGGCAAAAACAAAAATCGAGATCTGCATGATAGTTTGACCTGAAACCGAAAGAGGATAACACGAGGACTGATGTTTAGTCTTGCACTCGTTAACTCTGTTCCGAATTACTTTGTGTCTGAAGAACCTGATGTCTATCTTCGAATTCTAGCGTAAGATGCTCTGAAATTCTATTTTCTATTGTATTTCTTGGGGGGAGGGGTTGAAACAATCTTCTGTATTTTTCTAGAACCTGTCGTATATGGAGAAAGCCTGTTACATAATCGTATTCATAACGGGAAGAGTAAACATGAAAATGAACTACTATTTAGCATACTAGGAAGCGGGGAACGGGGGTAGGAAGCAACAAATCTTATTTTTTTCAGATATTATTAATAACACTTTTTCTTACGTGCTATGTTATGAATCCCTCGTGTCTTGTGAAGAGGAAGGTTCTAAATTGAGACAAAACGTTTGATCAACCATCTTCCGACAAGTAAGATCTTACAGTTTCTGAATATGAAATACGTTGCGGGGGAGGGGAAGCAGCAAATCTGTATTTTTCAGGTAGTTCTGTCCTATGCTAATTTGTGTGCCTCGGCATTATGCAATTGAGTTGCGAATCCTGCATATCTTATCAAGAGGAAGCTTCTAAAATGAAAAAAAGGCGTTTATCTGACCATCTTCGCATGAAGTAAGATGCTTGTAGTTTCTCAATAAGAAAAGTATTGGACGGGAGGGGGGAGCAACATCTATATTTTTCAGAGAGCAGTTACTCATCTGAGGACCCAGGAAAAGTGATTATGTAAATTAGAAGTTGAACATTAGGCATAGAGAGAGTCGCGAATTTGAGGAACTGGTTCTGAGAACTCCAAAATCTGCTAGTGATGCCGCAAAAGTAACTGAGAGGAATAACGGTAATATCAAAGATGACTGTTTTGAGCACGTGAAAGCGGCAAAACGTACGACCCAACCAAATATCAAAAAGGATTTTAAAGAAAGCAGTGCAAGCGCAAGAAAAAGAGGCATGAGAACAGTGAAGATTCAGCAAAGCATTGTGGTTGCAATTCATAGATGAAAGCATGAGGTAAGGGTTTATATCTGCATTTCAAGATTGTTTTACCAGGTTACCCAATACTGAAGAGAATCACAAAACCTGAAACATCGATATAACCTGGATGATATTTCGGCAAAAACAAAAATCGAGATCTGCATGATAGTTTGACCTGAAACCGAAAGAGGATAACACGAGGACTGATGTTTAGTCTTGCACTCGTTAACTCTGTTCCGAATTACTTTGTGTCTGAAGAACCTGATGTCTATCTTCGAATTCTAGCGTAAGATGCTCTGAAATTCTATTTTCTACTGTATTTCTTGGGGGAGGGGTTGAAACAATCTTCTGTATTTTTCTAGAACCTGTCGTATTTGAAGAAAGCCTGTTACATAACCTTATTCATAATAGGAAGAGTAAGAATGAAAATGAACTACTATTTAGCATACTATGAAGCGGGGAACGGGAGTAGGACGCAACAAATCTTATTTTTTTCAGATATTAATTACACTTTTTCTTACGTGCTATGTTATGAATCCTTGTTGAATCGCTCGTGACTTGTGAAGAGGAAGCTTCTAAATTGAGACAAAACGTTTGATCAACCATCTTCCCGAAAAGTAAGATCTTACAGTTTCTGAATATGAAATACGTTGCGGGGGAGGGGGAGCAGCAAATCTGTATTTTTCAGGTAGTTCTGTCCTATGCTAATTTGTGTGCCTCGACATTATGCGATTGAGTTGCGAATCCTGCATATCTTATCAAGAGGAAGCTTCTAAAATGAAAAAAGGCGTTTATCTGACCATCTTCGCATGAAGTAAGATGCTTGTAGTTTCTCAATAAGAAAAGTATTAGAGGGGAGGGGGGAGCAACATCTATATTTTTCAGAGAGCAGTTACTCATCTGAGTACCCAGGAAAAGTGGTTTATGTAAATTAGAAGTGGAAAATTAGGCATATTGAGTCGCGAATTTGAGGAACTGGTTCTGAGAACCCCAAAATCTGCTAGGGATGCCACAAAAGTAACTGAGAGGAATGACGGTAATATCAATGATGGCTGTTTTGAGCACGTGAAAGCGGCAAAACGTACGACCCAACCGAATATCAAAAAGGATTTTAAAGAAATCAGTGCAAGCGCATGAAAAAGAGGCAAGAGAACAGTGAAGATTCAGCAGAGCATTGTCATTGCAATTCATATATGGACAGCATGAGGTAAGGGTTTATATCTGCATTTCAAGATTGTTTTACCAGGTTACCCATTACTGAAGAGAATCACAAAACCTGAAACATCGATATAACCGGGATGATATTTTGGCAAGTTTTGCACACGTTAACTCGCATCCGAATTGTGTCTGAAGAACCTGATGTCTATCTTCGAATTCTCGCGTAAGATGCTCTGAAATTCTATTTTCTACTGTATTTCTTGGGGGGAGGGGTTGAAACAACCTTCTGTATTTTTCTAGAACCTGTCGTATTTGAAGAAAGCCTGTTACATAACCTTATTCATAATGGGAAGAGTAAGAATGAAAATGAACTACTATTTAGCATACTAGGAAGCGGGGAACGGGGGTAGGAAGCAACAAATCTTGTTTTCAGATATTACTAACACTTTTTCTTGCGTGCTATGTTATGAATCCTTGGTGAATCCCTCGTGTCTTGTGAAGAGGAAGCTTTTAAATTGAGACAAAACGTTTGATCAAATCTTCGTGACAAGTAAGATCTTTCAGCTTCTGAATATGAAATATGTTGCGGGGGGAGGGGGAGCAGCAAATCTGTATTTTTCAGGTAGTTCTGGCCTATGCTAATGTGTGTCCCTCGGCATTATGCAATTGAGTTGCGAATCCTGCATATCTTATCAAGAGGAAGCTTCTAAAATGAAAAAAGGCGTTTATCTGACCATCTTTGCATGAAGTAAGATGCTTGTAGTTTCTCAATAAGAAAAGTATTGGAGGGGAGGGGGGAGCAACATCTATATTTTTCAGAGAGCAGTTACTCATCTGAGGACCCAGGAAAAGTGATTTATGTAAATTAGAAGTTGAACTTTAGGCATAGAGTCGAGAATTTGAGGAACTGGTTCTGAGAACCCCAAAATCTGCTAGTGATGTCACAAAAGTAAGTGAAAGGAATAACGGTAATATAAGTGACGACCATGTTTTGAACACTTGAGACTGATAAAATGTATGACACAACTGAAATTCACGAAGGAATTTGCAGTACAAGAACAATTCGAACGCATGAAGAGGCTCGAGAAAAGTCCAGATCCAATACAGTGTTTTGTGATTGCAATGTCTAAATGAAAAGCAGTAGGTAAGGATTTATATCTCGATTTCGATTGTTTTATCATCAGGTTAATCTCGACTTAAGAAAAAAAATCTGCAACATCAATAATACGTGGAAGACATCTTCTAGAAAAAACAAACATCTCCAAATCTGCATAAGAGTCGGGTTAAGAACTGAAAGAACATGACCACGCTGATGTTTGAAGTTTACATGCACGCTCACAGTAAGGCGTTTTATCTTGTTCATTAAGAAATATGGGAAGGGGGCACACAACAATTTATATATTTTCAGAAATATACTACCTGTTGTGGTTGAAACTTTTTCCACATTATTATTAGGTAAAATGAAGAACCTGGACACGAGAAAGGATTTCGTGTTCAGGTCAAAGTAAGACACTTCAGATATATTTTGATTTTGGAGGGGGGAGGAGTAAAATTCTATTTTTTTTTCTATAAAGACATTTTTTATGTATGTGCTTAGAAATTCGATTTTGAGTCCATTCAGCAATGAAAGCGGTAACAAGTGCTTATATACTGTATGCCATTGAAGGGGAAGGGGGGGGGCAGTGCAAAACAAATTCTATTATTGTTCCAGTTGACACCAAAAAAATGACTTCCTTCAGAGAAAATTGAAGTGTAATTTAGAAAGGTAAAAAACGGAACGCTGTGTGGCGACGTGTGTGAATAACAATAACAGGGCATTCCGAGTAGTAACAAGAGAGACTATGGCGCAGATTACAAGAATTTAAACACTGAAAAACAAATTGGAAGATCAGATGTAACATGGTAAGAATATGCTGGAAGTTTTGAACTTACATCGATAGGTCAAGCAACTTTATGCTGTTAGAAGAACACAACCTCTGGAGGAAAATTTGATTGTGAGGTAGAGTACCAGGCCAGCAAGAATCAAGATGAGGAGATTTTAGGTAGCAAATGCTTGAATATAGGAAAGTTCGGAAATAACGAAAATAAGGCTTCAAGTATCCCATCCCCACCCCATCTAGTGAACAGAAGGGATAACCATTATAGTACAGAAGGTAATAGAAGTATAGCGATTAGGATAGAAATTGCAGCAGTTGAGGAAAAACGAAGGATAATAGTCGAGACAAATATGATTCATAGGACCAGAAGAAAATTGGGAAACACGATATTAAACATGGTGGAAAAGAAATTAATGAATTAGTCAGAAGACTGGATTGTATTTTAAGATACAACTGACCAAAATAAGATTTAGGTATGTGAATCAATATTTCTACATATCTCTTACTATACTATTCGTTTGTTGAGGTGTCATGAAAAATCATGTCGCTAATTGAAGTGGTTCATTATGTCTTTTTCCAAAGTAACCATTATTAGCTGCGCATTTCCCACATTTTTCACTGTTTGCAGAAAACCACAGACAAGCAAGTACCCTATACAAGATAAGTCACGAATTTCTTCAAGCGGAATGAGAACTGATACTGAAGTGAGAAGCCAGAACAGATCTACATAACAAGCGACTTTACAATAGAAATTGACAAGATACAATTATGAACAAATAACAACGACGCAAGAATGACTGAAAATGTGAGGGTTTTAAAAAGGCAAAAATAGATGAGGAGTTACACTATGGCAAAGCCCCATCAACGGTGTAGGTAAGGGTTATAATGGGCGTCCAAACTTCTGTTTTATTAGGTAACCATAAGTATTGAAGAAAAGAAATGGACCCCTAAAGCATCGGTATTATCGGCAATACCTGCAAAATTCGAAACATGTTAAAAGGACAGAAAATGAAAAAATCAAAACACACAAAAGTAGTTTAACAAAATCTTCACTGAGACCTGCTAAAGCTTCGAGGAAACAGTTACAAATTGAAGAGTGAAGTGGATGTATTAGCAATTTTCATTCCAAGTTCAGATGTTCAACTAAACTTTGATAATGATTGTGTAATTTCATTTATTAATGCAAATTTGATCATATGAATGTCGTGCAATCCATAAGTATTGTTTCAATCCCCACACAGTTGAATCGCGACTTCACAATATGAATGTCTTCAAAGGGGACCTACTCGTTGGTCATCCAACAATGTCGGAGAAGTACAGAAGCAGAATTGTAACATTCGCGGATCAGAACGGCACAAAATAAAGAAGCACTTTGAATGAACAACTGTAACAACGAGGCAATCAGATCAGAGAGAGGCTGATGGCAAACCTTGCAGATAATTACTGGCTGTTAGAATTCCGAAGATGTAATGGGTAAGAAATATGGAAATCTTTTGAGTTTATGTTTAGGTCGTGTACTACACGAAACATGAAAAATTCCTATCACTAATGAAAGATGGAAGACCAAGATAGAAACTGAAAACTAGGAAAATAGCTGCAAAGCACAGAGCGCTACACCTTTAGGAACTGGACAGCATACCATGGAGGGACCAGAGGCAACATCACGGAGGACTGACTGCCACCATGGGGCACCGACTGACACACCATGGGGGACCAGAGAGGACGACACCATTGATGCAGCAAGTGGCGCATCTCTGAAGGATTGGACCGAACATCAACCTTGGGACCAAAAAATGGTACACCACTCACGACAGGACGTCATACCATCTAGAGACCACCAGGCAGCGCATCACTGAAGGACGCGAGGGCAAACCACAGAGGGAGCGGACAGCACGTCAGTGGAATGGTAGGTTTTAACCACAGCATGGGATAATTGAAAGAATTTACTTCAACGAAACTTCACACTTTTATCAGCCTTGGTGGGTTTCTACTTACCTTATACAGCAGTAATTACTGACGTCCAGGATACATGCTCAATAAATATCACATTCCGTGGTAAATACAGACCGAACACAGTTAATACTGATCATGTGACATTCGTCATAACTGTTTTAAGGTTCTATCTATAATAAGATTCAACATTAAAACCTCTTATGCACACAAGTCCCCGAAAAAAATACGTGTAAATTAATCGCGGCAAATATGATACAACGACGCCACCAAAGCGCTGTGTTCCCGATGGATAGATATATCTTTTGCATGATGCATGTAAAAACGTTTTGGCCGATGTGTGGTGCACTTTCTCAAACTGAGCCAATATGTCTAACTGAAATGATTCATGGGATGACATCCATACTTCCAAAGTGAAATTAAAAACAATTCTTATAGCTGTTCTGTTTCTTTTATTCAGCGGCGCGACTAGATGACGGGACTACCTACCACGGTGGAAAGAAGGCGACGGTACTACGAACCATGGAAACAAGTACGGGGCACGGTGAGAAAACACGAACCACGACGGAACTACAACAGGGCGGGACGGTGTAACAAGGCGAGGGCTATTACGGCAGAATGATGGCGACGGGACTACGAACTACGGCGAAATTGCGAGGCCTTGACGGGAAAAAGACTACCACGGGTCACGACGGCAAATAAGACGACGGGGCAAGAGGCCATGGCGGAACTACAGCGGGGCGGAACGGTGCAACTTGGCGAGGGTTAACAGCAACATGAAGGCGACAAGATGATGGAACTACGAGCCACGGCGCAAAACGACTACGGGCTACATCGGGAGGCGGCGACAGGACTACGGGCCACGACAGAACTATAGCGGAACGGAACGGTGTAACTTGACGAGGGCTACGGCAACAAGACTACGAGCCACGGCGGGAAACGATGACGGGACTACGGGCTACATCGGGAGGCGACGACAGGACTACGGGCCACGGCGGAACTACAGCGGGACGGAACGTTCTAACGCGGCGAGGGCTAACGGCAACATGAAGCAAGAAGACGACGGGATTACGGGCTACATCTGAAGGCGGCTCACGGCGGAAACTAGAGCGGGATGGAACGTTGTAACGTGACTAGGGCTAACTGGGACTACGAGCCACGGCGGGAAACGACAGGACTACGGGCTACGGCGGAACTACAGCGGGACGTAACGCGGCGAGCGCTAATGGCAACAAGACGACAGGATTACGAGCCACGGCGGGAAACGACTACGGGCTACATCGGGTGGCGACGACAGGACTACGGGACACGGCAGAACTACAGCGGGACATAACGCGGCGAGGGCTAACGGCAACAAGACGACGGGACTACGAACCACGGCGGGAAACGACTACGGGCTACATCGGGAGGCGACGACAGGACTATGGGCCACGACGGAACTACAGCGGGACGGAACGCGGCAGGGCTAACGGTAACAAGACGACGGGACTACGGCCAACGGCAACAAGACGACGGGACTACGAGCCACGGCGGGAAACGACTACGGGCTACATCGGAAGGCGACGACAGGACTACGGGCCACGGCGGAACTACAGCGGAACGGTGTAATAACGCGGCGAGGGCTAACGGCAACAAGACTACGGGCTAAATCGGAAGGCGACGACAGTACTACGGACTACAGCGGGACGGATCGGTGTATCGCGGCAAGAGCTAACGACAAGACGAAGGGACTACGAGCCATGGCGGGAAACGACTACGGGCTACAGCGGGAGGCAACGACAGGACTACGGACTACAGCGGGACGGAACGGTGTATCGCGGCAAGAGCTAACGACAACAAGACGACGGGACTATGAGCCATGACGGGAAACGACTACGGGCTACATCGGGAGGCGACGACGGGACTACGGGCCACGGCAGAACTACAGCGGGACGGAACGCGTCGGAACTACAGGGGGACGGAACGCGGCGAGGGCTAACGGCAACAAGAAGACGGGACTACGGGCTAACGGCAACAAGACGACGTGACTACGAGCCACGGCGGGAAACGACTACGGGCTACATCGGGAGGCGACGACAGGACTACGGGCCACGGCGGATCTACAGCGGGACGTAACGCGGCGAGCGCTAATGGCAACAAGACGACAGGACTACGGGCTAAATCGGAAGGCGACGACAGTACTACGGACTACAGCGGGACGGAACGGTGTATCGCGGCAAGAGCTAACGACAAGACGAAGGGACTACGAGCCATGGCGGAAAACGACTACGGGCTACATCGGGAGGCAACGACAGGACTACGGACTACAGCGGGACGGAACGGTGTATCGCGGCAAGAGCTAACGACAAGACGAAGGGACTACGAGCCATGGCGGAAAACGACTATGGGCTACATCGGGAGGCGACTACGGGCCACGGCGGAACTACAACGGGACGGAACGCATCGGACCTACAGCGGGACGGAACACGGCGTGGGCTAACGGCGACGGGACTACGAGCCACGGCGGGAAACGACTACGGGCTACATCGGAAGGCGACGACAGGACTACGGGCCACGGCGGATCTACAGCGGGACGGAACGCGGCGAAGGCTAACGGCAACAAGACGACGGGACTACGAGCCATGGCGGGAAACGACTACGGGCTACATCGGGAGGCGACTACGGGCCACGGCGGAACTACAACGGGACGGAACGCGGCGGAACTACAGCGGGACGGAACGCGTCGGAACTACAGGGGGACGGAACGCGGCGAGGGCTAACGGCAACAAGAAGACGGGATACGGGCTAACGGCAACAAGACGACGTGACTACGAGCCACGGCGGGAAACGACTACGGGCTACATCGGGAGGCGACGACAGGACTACGGGCCACGGCGGATCTACAGCGGGACGTAACGCGGCGAGCGCTAATGGCAACAAGACGACAGGACTACGGGCTAAATCGGAAGGCGACGACAGTACTACGGACTACAGCGGGACGGAACGGTGTATCGCGGCAAGAGCTAACGACAAGACGAAGGGACTACGAGCCATGGCGGAAAACGACTACGGGCTACATCGGAAGGCGACGACAGGACTACGGGCCACGGCGGATCTACAGCGGGACGGAACGCGGCGAGGGCTAACGGCAACAAGACGACGGGACTACGAGCCATGGCGGGAAACGACTACGGGCTACATCGGGAGGCGACGACGGGACTACGGGCTACATCGGGAGGCGACTACGGGCCACGGCGGAACTACAACGGGACGGAACGCATCGGACCTACAGCGGGACGGAACACGGCGTGGGCTAACGGCGACGGGACTACGAGCCACGGCGGGAACGACTACGGGCTACATCGGAAGGCGACGACAGGACTACGGGCCACGGCGGAACTACAGCGGGACGGAACACGGCGTGGGCTAACGGCAACAAGACGACGGACTACGAGCCATGGCGGAAAACGACTACGGGCTACATCGGGAGGCGACTACGGGCCACGGCGGAACTACAACGGGACGGAACGCGGCGGAACTACAGCGGGACGGAACGCGTCGGAACTACAGGGGGACGGAACGCGGCGAGGGCTAACGGCAACAAGAAGACGGGATACGGGCTAACGGCAACAAGACGACGTGACTACGAGCCACGGCGGGAAACGACTACGGGCTACATCGGGAGGCGACGACAGGACTACGGGCCACGGCGGATCTACAGCGGGACGTAACGCGGCGAGCGCTAATGGCAACAAGACGACAGGACTACGGGCTAAATCGGAAGGCGACGACAGTACTACGGACTACAGCGGGACGGAACGGTGTATCGCGGCAAGAGCTAACGACAAGACGAAGGGACTACGAGCCATGGCGGAAAACGACTACGGGCTACATCGGAAGGCGACGACAGGACTACGGGCCACGGCGGATCTACAGCGGGACGGAACGCGGCGAGGGCTAACGGCAACAAGACGACGGGACTACGAGCCATGGCGGGAAACGACTACGGGCTACATCGGGAGGCGACGACGGGACTACGGGCTACATCGGGAGGCGACTACGGGCCACGGCGGAACTACAACGGGACGGAACGCATCGGACCTACAGCGGGACGGAACACGGCGTGGGCTAACGGCGACGGGACTACGAGCCACGGCGGGAAACGACTACGGGCTACATCGGAAGGCGACGACAGGACTACGGGCCACGGCGGAACTACAGCGGGACGGAACACGGCGTGGGCTAACGGCAACAAGACGACGGACTACGAGCCATGGCGGAAAACGACTACGGGCTACATCGGGAGGCAACGACAGGACTACGGACTACAGCGGGACGGAACGGTGTATCGCGGCAAGAGCTAACGACAAGACGAAGGGACTACGAGCCATGGCGGAAAACGACTACGGGCTACATCGGGAGGCGACGACGGGACTACGGGCTACATCGGGAGGCGACTACGGGCCACGGCGGAACTACAACGGGATGGAACGCATCGGACCTACAGCGGGACGGAACACGGCGTGGGCTAACGGCGACGGGACTACGAGCCACGGCGGGAAACGACTACGGGCTACATCGGAAGGCGACGACAGGACTACGGGCCACGGCGGATCTACAGCGGGACGGAACGCGGCGAGGGCTAACGGCAACAAGACGACGGGACTACGAGCCATGGCGGGAAACGACTACGGGCTACATCGGGAGGCGACTACGGGCCACGGCGGAACTACAACGGGACGGAACGCATCGGACCTACAGCGGGACGGAACACGGCGTGGGCTAACGGCGACGGGACTACGAGCCACGGCGGGAAACGACTACGGGCTACATCGGAAGGCGACGACAGGACTACGGGCCACGGCGGATCTACAGCGGGACGGAACGCGGCGAGGGCTAACGGCAACAAGACGACGGGACTACGAGCCATGGCGGGAACGACTACGGGCTACATCGGGAGGCGACTACGGGCCACGGCGGAACTACAACGGGACGGAACGCATCGGACCTACAGCGGGACGGAACACGGCGTGGGCTAACGGCGACGGGACTACGAGCCACGGCGGGAAACGACTACGGGCTACATCGGAAGGCGACGACAGGACTACGGGCCACGGCGGAACTACAGCGGGACGGAACACGGCGTGGGCTAACGGCAACAAGACGACGGACTACGAGCCATGGCGGGAAACGACTACGGGCTACAACGGGAGGCGACGACAGGACTACGGGCCACGGCGGATCTACAGCGGGACGGAACGCGGCGAGGGCTAACGGCAACAAGACGACGGGACTACGGCCAATGGCAACAAGACGACGGGACTACGGGCTAAATCAGAAGGCGACGACAGTACTACGGACTACAGCGGGACGGAACGGTGTATCGCGGCAAGAGCTAACGACAAGACGAAGGAACTACGAGCCATGGCGGAAAACGACTACGGGCTACATCGGGAGGCGACGACAGGACTACGGGCCACGGCGGATCTACAGCGGGACTGAACGCGGCGAGGGCTAACGGCAACAAGACGACGGGACTACGAGCCATGGCGGGAAACGACTACGGGCTACATCGGGAGGCGACGACGGGACTACGGGCTACATCGGGAGGCGACTACGGGCCAAGGCGGAACTACAACGGGACGGAACGCATCGGACCTACAGCGGGGCGGAACACGGCGTGGGCTAACGGCGACGGGACTACGAGCCACGGCGGGAAACGACTACGGGCTACATCGGAAGGCGACGACAGGACTACGGGCCACGGCGGAACTACAGCGGGACGGAACACGGCGTGGGCTAACGGCAACAAGACGACGGACTACGAGCCATGGCGGGAAACGACTACGGGCTACATCGGGAGGCGACTACGGGGCTACATCGGGAGGCGACTACGGGCCACGGCGGAACTACAACGGGACGGAACGCGGCGGAACTACAGCGGGACGGAACGCATCGGACCTAAAGCGGGACGGAACACGGCGTGGGCTAACGGCAACAAGACGACGGGACTACGGGCTAACGGCAACAAGACGACGGGACTACGAGCCATGGCGGGAAACGACTACGGGCTACATCGAGAGGCGACGACAGGATTACAGGCCACGGCGGAACTACAGCGGGACGGAACACGGCGTGGGATAAAGGCAACAAGACGACGGACTACGAGCCATGGCGGGAAACGACTACGTGCTACATCGGGAGGCGACGACAGGACTACGGGCCACGGCAGAACTACAACGGGACGGAACGCGGCGGAACTACAGGGGGACGGAACGCGGCGAGGGCTAACGGCAAGTCGACGGGACTAGACCTACGGCGGGAGGCGACGACAGGGCTACGGGTCACGGCGGAACTAGAACGGGATGGAACGGTGTAACGCGACGAGGGATAACTGGGACTACGAGCCACAGCGGGAAACGACTACGGACTACATCGGGAGGCGACGACAGGACTACGGACTACAGCGGGACGGAACGGTGTATCGCGGCAAGAGCTAACGACAAGACGACGGGACTACGAGCCATGGCGGAAGCGATTACGGGGTACATTGGGAGGCGACGACAGTACTACGGGCCACGGCGGAACTAGAACGGGATGGAACTGTGTAACGCGTCGAGGGCTAACGGCAAGACGACGGGACTACGAGCCACGGCAGGAAACGACTACGGGCTACATTGAGAGGTGACGACAAGACAACGGGTCACGGCGGGACGGAACGCGGCGATGGCTAACGGCTACAAGACGACGGGATTACGAGCCACGGCGGGAAACGTCTACGGACTACATCGGGAGGCGACGACAATACTACGGCCACGGCGGAACTACAGCGGGACGGAACGGTGTAACGCGGCGAGGGCTAACGGCAACATGACGGCAAGAAGATGATATTACGGGCTACATCGGAAGGTGACGGCAGGCTACGGGTCACGGCTGAACTGGAGCGGGATGGAAGGGTGCAATGCGACTAGGGCTAACTGAGACTATGAGCCACGGCGGGAAGCGACTACGGGCTACGGCGGAACTACAACGGGACGGAACGCATCGGACCTACAGCGGGACGGAACACGGCGTGGGCTAACGGCGACGGGACTACGAGCCACGGCGGGAAACGACTACGGGCTACATCGGAAGGCGACGACAGGACTACGGGCCACGGCGGATCTACAGCGGGACGGAACGCGGCGAAGGCTAACGGCAACAAGACGACGGGACTACGAGCCATGGCGGGAAACGACTACGGGCTACATCGGGAGGCGACTACGGGCCACGGCGGAACTACAACGGGACGGAACGCGGCGGAACTACAGCGGACGGAACGCGTCGGAACTACAGGGGGACGGAACGCGGCGAGGGCTAACGGCAACAAGAAGACGGGATACGGGCTAACGGCAACAAGACGACGTGACTACGAGCCACGGCGGGAAACGACTACGGGCTACATCGGGAGGCGACGACAGGACTACGGGCCACGGCGGATCTACAGCGGGACGTAACGCGGCGAGCGCTAATGGCAACAAGACGACAGGACTACGGGCTAAATCGGAAGGCGACGACAGTACTACGGACTACAGCGGGACGGAACGGTGTATCGCGGCAAGAGCTAACGACAAGACGAAGGGACTACGAGCCATGGCGGAAAACGACTACGGGCTACATCGGAAGGCGACGACAGGACTACGGGCCACGGCGGATCTACAGCGGGACGGAACGCGGCGAGGGCTAACGGCAACAAGACGACGGGACTACGAGCCATGGCGGGAAACGACTACGGGCTACATCGGGAGGCGACGACGGGACTACGGGCTACATCGGGAGGCGACTACGGGCCACGGCGGAACTACAACGGGACGGAACGCATCGGACCTACAGCGGGACGGAACACGGCGTGGGCTAACGGCGACGGGACTACGAGCCACGGCGGGAAACGACTACGGGCTACATCGGAAGGCGACGACAGGACTACGGGCCACGGCGGAACTACAGCGGGACGGAACACGGCGTGGGCTAACGGCAACAAGACGACGGACTACGAGCCATGGCGGAAAACGACTACGGGCTACATCGGGAGGCAACGACAGGACTACGGACTACAGCGGGACGGAACGGTGTATCGCGACAAGAGCTAACGACAAGACGAAGGGACTACGAGCCATGGCGGAAAACGACTACGGGCTACATCGGGAGGCGACGACGGGACTACGGGCTACATCGGGAGGCGACTACGGGCCACGGCGGAACTACAACGGGATGGAACGCATCGGACCTACAGCGGGACGGAACACGGCGTGGGCTAACGGCGACGGGACTACGAGCCACGGCGGGAAACGACTACGGGCTACATCGGAAGGCGACGACAGGACTACGGGCCACGGCGGATCTACAGCGGGACGGAACGCGGCGAGGGCTAACGGCAACAAGACGACGGGACTACGAGCCATGGCGGGAAACGACTACGGGCTACATCGGGAGGCGACTACGGGCCACGGCGGAACTACAACGGGACGGAACGCATCGGACCTACAGCGGGACGGAACACGGCGTGGGCTAACGGCGACGGGACTACGAGCCACGGCGGGAAACGACTACGGGCTACATCGGAAGGCGACGACAGGACTACGGGCCACGGCGGATCTACAGCGGGACGGAACGCGGCGAGGGCTAACGGCAACAAGACGACGGGACTACGAGCCATGGCGGGAAACGACTACGGGCTACATCGGGAGGCGACTACGGGCCACGGCGGAACTACAACGGGACGGAACGCATCGGACCTACAGCGGGACGGAACACGGCGTGGGCTAACGGCGACGGGACTACGAGCCACGGCGGGAAACGACTACGGGCTACATCGGAAGGCGACGACAGGACTACGGGCCACGGCGGAACTACAGCGGGACGGAACACGGCGTGGGCTAACGGCAACAAGACGACGGACTACGAGCCATGGCGGGAAACGACTACGGGCTACAACGGGAGGCGACGACAGGACTACGGGCCACGGCGGATCTACAGCGGGACGGAACGCGGCGAGGGCTAACGGCAACAAGACGACGGGACTACGGCCAATGGCAACAAGACGACGGGACTACGGGCTAAATCAGAAGGCGACGACAGTACTACGGACTACAGCGGGACGGAACGGTGTATCGCGGCAAGAGCTAACGACAAGACGAAGGAACTACGAGCCATGGCGGAAAACGACTACGGGCTACATCGGGAGGCGACGACAGGACTACGGGCCACGGCGGATCTACAGCGGGACGGAACGCGGCGAGGGCTAACGGCAACAAGACGACGGGACTACGAGCCATGGCGGGAAACGACTACGGGCTACATCGGGAGGCGACGACGGGACTACGGGCTACATCGGGAGGCGACTACGGGCCAAGGCGGAACTACAACGGGACGGAACGCATCGGACCTACAGCGGGGCGGAACACGGCGTGGGCTAACGGCGACGGGACTACGAGCCACGGCGGGAAACGACTACGGGCTACATCGGAAGGCGACGACAGGACTACGGGCCACGGCGGAACTACAGCGGGACGGAACACGGCGTGGGCTAACGGCAACAAGACGACGGACTACGAGCCATGGCGGGAAACGACTACGGGCTACATCGGGAGGCGACTACGGGCTACATCGGGAGGCGACTACGGGCCACGGCGGAACTACAACGGGACGGAACGCGGCGGAACTACAGCGGGACGGAACGCATCGGACCTAAAGCGGGACGGAACACGGCGTGGGCTAACGGCAACAAGACGACGGGACTACGGGCTAACGGCAACAAGACGACGGGACTACGAGCCATGGCGGGAAACGACTACGGGCTACATCGAGAGGCGACGACAGGATTACAGGCCACGGCGGAACTACAGCGGGACGGAACACGGCGTGGGATAAAGGCAACAAGACGACGGACTACGAGCCATGGCGGGAAACGACTACGTGCTACATCGGGAGGCGACGACAGGACTACGGGCCACGGCAGAACTACAACGGGACGGAACGCGGCGGAACTACAGGGGGACGGAACGCGGCGAGGGCTAACGGCAAGTCGACGGGACTAGACCTACGGCGGGAGGCGACGACAGGGCTACGGGTCACGGCGGAACTAGAACGGGATGGAACGGTGTAACGCGACGAGGGATAACTGGGACTACGAGCCACAGCGGGAAACGACTACGGACTACATCGGGAGGCGACGACAGGACTACGGACTACAGCGGGACGGAACGGTGTATCGCGGCAAGAGCTAACGACAAGACGACGGGACTACGAGCCATGGCGGGAAGCGATTACGGGGTACATTGGGAGGCGACGACAGTACTACGGGCCACGGCGGAACTAGAACGGGATGGAACTGTGTAACGCGTCGAGGGCTAACGGCAAGACGACGGGACTACGAGCCACGGCAGGAAACGACTACGGGCTACATTGAGAGGTGACGACAAGACAACGGGTCACGGCGGGACGGAACGCGGCGATGGCTAACGGCTACAAGACGACGGGATTACGAGCCACGGCGGGAAACGTCTACGGACTACATCGGGAGGCGACGACAATACTACGGCCACGGCGGAACTACAGCGGGACGGAACGGTGTAACGCGGCGAGGGCTAACGGCAACATGACGGCAAGAAGATGATATTACGGGCTACATCGGAAGGTGACGGCAGGCTACGGGTCACGGCTGAACTGGAGCGGGATGGAAGGGTGCAATGCGACTAGGGCTAACTGAGACTATGAGCCACGGCGGGAAGCGACTACGGGCTACGGCGGAACTACAGCGGGACGTAACGCGGCGAGGGCTAACGGCAACATGAAAGCATGAAGACGACGACATTACGGCCTACATCGGGAGCCGATGACAGGGCTACGGGTCACGGCGGAACTAGAGCGGGATGGAACGGTGTAACGCGACGAGGGCTAACTGGGACTACGAGCCACGGCGGGAAACGGCGACAAGACTACGGGCCACGGCGGAGCTAGTGCGGGTGGAACGGAGTATCGCGGCGAGAGCTACGGCAGGACGACGGGACTACGAGCCACGGGAAATTAAAGCGGGTCGGAACTGTGTAATGCGGCGAGGGCAAACGAGCCACGGTGGGAAACCAGAGGACAGGACTACGGGCCACGGTGAACTACTGCTGGACGGTGCGATGTAACGTGGCAAGGGCTATCACAGCGGAATGATTGACGATGTAACGATTAACTACGGCGGAACTACAAAGAAGGGAAACTGCGAGAAAAAAACGACACCAACCAAGGTGGAAAGAAAACGGCAGAACATCAACCCACGGCATAAAGAAAAGGGCGGGGACCACGGCGGAAAAAAACGACGGGAGTGACCACTGCGGAAAGAAAACGACGGGACTACAACTCACGGAATACAGAATACGACCAAACCATGGCGGGAAGAAGGCTACGAGGCTACGAACCATGATGGAACGAAGACGACGGGATTAAAGACCACGACGGAAAGAGGACTGGACTACGAAGCAAGGTGGAAATGCGAAGGAACTACGAACCATAGTATAAAGAAGGCGGCGGGACCAAGGTGGAAAGAAGACGATGGGACCATGGCGGAAAGACTACGGGACCACCACCCACGGCTGGAAAAGCTGACGGGACTACCAACCAAAGTGGAGATAAGATGACACCTACCAAGGTGGGAAGAAGGCGCCGGAATGAAGATGAAGGGACCATGGCGAAAAGAAGATAACGGAACTACGGGGGAATAAGACAGGACACCAACCAAGGTGGGAAGAAGACGACGGGGCCACAACCCACGGCTTAAAGATGACGATGCAACTACGGCGTGAAGAAGACGACGGGGCTAACAACCAAAGTGAAAAGATGACGGAACCACGGCGGGAAGAAGACGTGACACCAACCCAGGTGGGAAGACGACGGCGTCACGGCGGAAAGAAGACGACAGGTCCACGGCGGCAAGAAGGCCGGACACCAACCAAGGTGGGAAAAAGACGACGGGACCATGGCGGAAAGAAGAGTACGGGACCACAACCCACGCCATGAAGAAGACGATAGAACCACGGCGAGAAGACGGGACACCAACCAAGGTGGGAAGAAGACGACGGGACTACCAACCAAAGTAAAAGATGACGGAACCACGGCGGGAAGAAGACGGGACACCAACCAAGGTGGGAAGGCGACGGCATCACGGCGGAAAGAAGACGACGTATCCACGGCGGGAAGAATACCGAACACCAACGAAGGTGGGAAGAAGACGACGGGATCACAACCCACGGCGTGAAGAAGAGGATGGAACCACGGCGGGAAGAAGACGGGACCACAACCCACGGCCTGAAGACGATCGAACCACGGCAAGAAGCTGGGATGGAACTACCAACGAAGGTGGGAAGAAGACGGCATCGCGGCGGAAAGAAGTATACGGGACCACAAACCCACGGCATGAAGAAGACGATGGAATCACGGCGAGAAGACGGGAAGGCACTACCAACCAAGGTGGGATGATGACAGCATCACGGGGAAATAAGACGACAGATCCACAGCGGGAAAAAGACCGGACACCAACCAGTCAAGGTGGGAAGAAGACGGCGGGGCCACAACCCACGGCATAAAGAAGAGGACGGAACTACCAACCAAGATGGAAAGAAGACAACGGGGCCATGACGGAAGATGACTGCGGGACCTCAACTACGGCGGGAAGAAGACGTCGCGACTACCAACCCAGGTGGAAAGAAGACGACGGGGCTACAGACCGCGACGGAAAGAAGACTCGGGGACTACGAACCATGGCGGAAAGAAGACGACGGAACAACGGTGGAAGAAGACGGGACACCAACCAAGGTGGGAAGACGACGGCATCACAGCGGAAAAAAGACGGCAGTTCCACGGCGAGAAGAAGACCGGACACCAACCAAAGTGGGAAGAAGACGACGGGATCATGGCGAAAAGAAGAGTACAGGATTGTGGTCCAAACGGCATGAAGAAGACGACGGAACAACGGCGGGAAGAAGACGGGACACCAACCAAGGTGGGAAGAAGACCACGGCATTACGGCGGAAAGAATACGACGGCATCACGGCGAAAGAAAACGGGATACCATCCTAGGTGGAAAGAAGACTACGGGACCACAACCTACGGCATAAAGAAGAGGACGGGACCACGGCGGAAAGAAGACTACGGGACTGCGAACCATGGCGGAAAGAAGACGACAGGATTATGAACCATGCATTAAAGAAGACGACACAAGACGAAAACAAAAACGACGGATACTGGAAACACAGGATGGAATGAAACAGTGCAGAAAGAAGAGCTAAGACAGAAGAACGAAGCAGGAACAAGATCGAAGAACGAAGCATAGCGCAAAGAAGAACAAGACGAGCAAGACGGAAGAACGAAGCTGGACGAAAACAAGAACAAGACACCAGTTCGAAGTATTGCGGACAGAAGAACAAGACAACACGTATCAAGACGGAAACACGAACAATATAAGAATGAAGCAAAGCGGAAAGACGAACAAACGATACATAGACTGATGAAGACTGCCGACAGAGGAGCAAGACAGAAGAACGCAGAAGAAGTCGAAAGAATGAAACAATATGAACCGTCAAGATTTATAATAAAATGTTGAGTTTATTTGTGTTGTTTTCTTGAAGCAAGCTGCCTACCCTTCATGTTCTTAAGATTAGAAACAGGGTAACAATTCTAGTATAAACACACGCATGCCAAGTGCTATAGGACGCAACCTTAAAATATAAATTGATAAATACCCTACTTCGACCGGTTAAACATTTTCTTACGCCATAGCTGAGAATATTCACGATTCATATAAAAGACCAATTTGCTGTCTGGGATAAATTCATACACATGCCTCGTTTATATAGTGTGTGGTCAAAAATGTCATTACGAAACTGGCGTCGGAGTCCCCAAACAGATGGATCTATTTTGATTTTCCTTTCAAAAGTAATTAAATTTAATCGAGCGTTCTTGACTGACACAAAAAATTGTTCGGACGTTTAAAGTCGTTCTTCTAATTGATGTATTGTTGCTCAATATAATTATTGTTGCTTTGCTTTATAATATGCCTAGATATCATAATTTCTTATGTGGTAAATGTTCATCAATGTATCACATAAGAATCTCAGAATTTTAAATAATTGGTCTTCTGTATTTCGTCAATGAAAAATAAATACACTTTTAGAACAAAAATGATCACTTAACACCGGCTTTCTCATGGGTTAACAAATGCATAGAACATTTTTTATTTTCCATCCATGCCATCGCAACATGTTTGTGCTATTGGTTCCTGCTTGGTTATGACCTTATTTCAATTATTAACGAGACAATCCTCCGTTGTCAAAATCAAAAAGTTCAGTTAGGAGACGGGCGGCTTATTTCGAAAAATTATAATTTCCTTATTCCAAGGTTACCGTATTGGGAAATTTTCACTCAAATTTGGGGGATAAAATGTTCTGAGGTAAAAATAAAATCATTTAGTATTTTATTCCTTATTTAACTAAGAAAAACTGTCTACCGCTAAAAATCCAATTTTATCTTTCTGTAGCTTCGTATCTACGTTGACCAATCTCTACACCTTGATGGCCTTGATGTCAATTATTGTAGGTTGGTGGACATACATCCATAGTCATAGAACACTGTTATACAGAATAAGCTGAAATTTACAAAGACGCAACCCCAAATCCAGACATGACTAATTTACAAAAGAAAAACAAGCTTATATTGAAGTGTGCAATCTTAAGTATTGTAAATGTATGACAAAGGTTATTATTATATGAAGATTATGAACGATAATTTCTCGATTGGGAATTAAATAAATAATTAAAACTTTAATGTGTAGCTTATCCGATTCAAAACACAGATTGAAACCAAAATGGAAGTTCCCAGGGAAGGTCAAACTGTCGTTGGTCAAGAATCAAACTCTGTTGGTAAGAAAGTGTCCTAGATTTTGCCTGGAGATGTATGTGTTTTGTGCCAGGAGCGAATGACCTTGGTGTCGCCAGTTCGCCCAAAAGACGTTTCATCCACAGAAGGATAAGGGACCATAAAACCAATATTCTTTTATAACTTGAAATTATTTTAATTAAGCTAAGCCCTCCTGTATTCTCCCATGCTAACGGATCTTTCTTATTTAGATAACGGATAACGAAGGTTTGTCTCACTATTACGAAAAATCGAAATAAGAAAGATCATTACAAAGCAGCGGAACAAGAGCACTAAACTCTATTTTTTACTTATTCAGCGCTGGTACAGAAATTAATAAAGCTAGGAAAGTTTAATCAAAACAATTTCAACTTATAAATATATAATAAGAGCAATAAATAGGAATGCTCTGAATAGAATAAATTGTCCTGATATTTGTCATGTTTATGTGAAATGGAGCAGTGTAGCTTTTATTTGAGTTCTGATAGTTACTTGTGGTTCTGTGATTCTATGCTCCGTGCTTAACTGGTCATAAAAAAACTTTTCAATCACCTTGTTTGCTGTCGTTGTCAAAAATAACGTAACGGAAGGGGTAACGATTCATTTTCTTGCACAAAACATTATTAAAAATCCCTTATTGTCAATTGGTTGTCAATGTCAAGTCTTTCCTGATAATAAACGTTCTGTGGTTTTTCAAATGAAGTGCGAAGTGGTGTAGAAGAAGTATGGATGTTTTAAGTAATTTATTATTTTTAGGCTTATTATTAATAAATCAATCACTAGCCGAATTAGTGCACCGAAAATTTGAATATAAATATTCATTCAAACCGCCTTATTTAGCTCAAAAAGACGGTTCTGTACCGTTTTGGGAGTACGGTGGCAGTAAGTATTTTGTTTGGTACACGTATATATTTTTTCCATCATTTCTAACATACGTTCATCATGGCATCTTTGTTTAATGCATGCCTAAGACAAAGAGAAGTGGATGTCGGACCGTGCGATATTTCATCGTTTTTTTTTTTGAACACGTATCTAACCTAAACACTTCAAAAACAGATGTTTTTCGTATTTTGTGAATTAATTGCTATTTTTGTATGAAACTAGAGACAATTTCAATGAAAATCATCGCAGTTTTAGAGATCTCAACATCGAAATAGCATAATATACGGTTTAATATCGAAAATAGGTTTTCCACAAATATCCACTTATACATTCTTAAGATTAAGTACTACAGTTTTTCAACATGATTACCAGTTTAAAATATTTTAGATGCTATTGCTGGCTCTGAAAATGTCCGTTTGGCTCCGTCACTTAAAAGCCAAAAGGGAGCAATATGGACAAAGCAACCGATTAATTTTGATTGGTGGGAAGTCGACATTTCATTTAGGGTAACTGGCAGAGGAAGAATAGGAGCTGATGGCTTGGTAAGCACCACTTTATAATGCCTTTCAGCTTTTATTGGTGTAAAAGCTACTAAGGTCTTATTTTGTTATGAACAATAGCCTGAAGCATATGTCAACACATACGAGCCCCTTCCCACTTCAGTTGGCCCAACTATTGAAATCTTGGTTTTTCCTTAACAAACACAAATAATCAAAATGTAGCAGGGTGTTATAGGTTTAAAATATTAACAATGAATATCTTGATAGTATATAGTAGAAAACTCCCTAATCAAATTTGCAGCATAAAAATAACATGTTGCAATTACAGTATATCAACCTATTTTCATTTCAATGCAAAATAAGTCTATAACGCATAGGTGGCTGTGAAAAATAAAAGCCATGACAATTGTTTTTATTAATCACAGCTGTCAGAATACGTTTAAAATAGTTTTGGGTAGTTAAGGTTTTCAAAATGGATAGAGGAAAGGTTATTAGTGAGAAAATTCGGTTACTGTTTTAGAAGTAAATATTTTCCTCATGTTTAGTTTATAAAGGCATATTTTGGTACAAATCTTGATGTGGGAAGGAGCTCATATAGAAAGTGATGACAACTAAGTAAGCTACCATAAGTGATTTCTTTACTGAAAAAGACACTCCCATATTATACACTTATTGCGAGAATTTATTTCTGAATTTTGAACAGGTGTTTCATTGCCATTAATTATAACTCTCTAAAACAGGAGAAATGATTTATTAGCCCTATTTTGAGAATCTGAAAAACTTCTTTGCCAAAAACTTGATCTATTGAAATCATTTTATAGTCTTTGAATTGCAGAGACAGTTTAGCATATGTGAATGATTTTTTTTCGTGGTTATTAAGCACCACAATGGCTTCAACTTTTGGCTATTATTTCAGATCTACCGTTATGCATTT